ACAAAAAATAATAATAATAATATATATATATAATAGTATATAAAAGTGAGGATGGCTGAGGTGCTAGATAAAATAGCAAAATAACATTTAAAATATTTATATATTTTAAAACAACCTCCATTTAATATAAAATTAGCACAGCTCATGGTAAAAGATAAAATGCTAGAATGGAATAGAAATAAAACGCAAATGTCCCTTTCACCAATGCCTGCTTTTCCTGATCCAGCTCCAACAGGTGGACACTATTATGACTTTCTGTCGTGTCCACACAGAAGTGTTCTATGCATACACAACTGTATCTGTCTATCAGCGTTGCTTGTTTTTTAGTAAACACCATCGGGCGACTTTCCTTTTGTAATAGGTATGTCTGTGCCTTAAACCTTCTCATATGAGCACCCATGTATCTTTCACATTTCAAGTGACTGCTAAATAAATATTCACTTTCAAAAAAAAAAACAGCATTTACTTAGTGAGTAGCCTGCTGATAATGAACAGTTTTTCTGGGTTTTCACAGTATAAACGATGCTGCAGTAAACATCTTCATGTGGAAACCTGGGCCTTTGCATTTATCTCTTCCTATTAAATTTATTGGCTGTTGGCAAATCACCCTCCGAAAAGCTGTATGCATTTATAGTCTGTTGAAATGAGATTATATTGGAACCATCCCCATAACCATTCTCAGGAAGTTGCAGAAAATGTTTATTTCAGCGTTAACTCCATGCAGATCCCAGAATGACATTAGCACCTCAGGAGTTGGTGACTACACTGTGAAGTAAGGACCCGCCCAGAGGTCCTCGTCCCCACAGGCTCTGCACTGACAGCCGCCCAGGACACCTCTGTCCTAGCATCTGCCCGTGAGCCTCTGAGCAGCTGCGCGGGGTCATGTGATGACTGTTGGGAAAATGTGAAGCCAGGCTGATGGCACACGAGGAATCCAAAGAGGACGGACTCTCTCGGAGAACCCTTATTGCAGAACCATGTCCCTAGTTCAAGGTATGCTTCGGTTTCTCCCGGCATCCGTCCAGTGTTTCTCAGACCACAGCAGCCCAGGAGACAAGTCAGAAGTAGAACTGGAAAAAAAGTTCGTCAGTTTCTTTAACGCTTAGGATCCAGCAATTCTACTCCCAGGTATTTACCCGTGAAAAATAAAAACGATGTCCTCACAAAGACCTCTGTTAGCGTGTGCCTAGCAGTTCACATCATTCTGGCACCTGACACCCAGTATCTATCAACAAGACGCTCACCGGGCACGGATTCAGTCGCAGTGAATGCCTCGGCTCGCTAAAATCTGTTTGCAACCCCAAAGTCACTATTTACACGCTTTCAAGGTCCTTCAAGGACATGGGCAAGAGTGCTCAGAGCGGTAACAGTTGGAGCCGCGGGGCGCACGTGTTCCCGCCTGAGGCTGAGGAAGGCAGACCTGCCTTCTTGTTTCAGCTCTCAGGGTATCAACACGCGTCTCAGCTGACTCATCAGCGCCCCCGTTTTTGCACTTTTGTGCTTTTTGTTGGTGATTTTGCCATTTAAGGTGGCTCCCAAGCGTGGTGTTGAAACGCTGTCGAGTGTTTCTCAGAGCAAGAAGGCTGGGAGGTCCCCTGAGGGAGGAAATTAGCCCAGACCGTGTTGGGTAAGCTTCTGTCAGTCACGAGCTATTGTGCTCCTGGCTGTGAGTTCAGTGTTCCTGAATGGACAATAGATGTTCAGTAAGGTGTCTACGAACATGTGACAGAGGCTCATCCGGGACCTATCCTGATATTCCTCCCAGGAGCAGTGATTCCGTTTTCTCTAATTGTGTTCCAGCAACTTCATAAGACACAACTACCGCAAGTAATGAATCCCAGCTGTATATCCATAGGAGGAAATACTACTCAGCAATGAAAAGGAACAAACCAGCCCTGGCCAGTTTGGCTCAGCGGTTCGAGCGTCGGCCCACAGAGCAGAGAGACCCAGGTTTGGTTCCCGCGAAGGGCACGTACCTCAGTTGCAGTTTGTCCCCGGCCCCGGTTGGGGTCGTGTGGGTGGCAGCCACTCAATGTGTCTCTTTCACATCAATGTCTCTCTCTCTCTTCCTTCCTCTCTCCCTCCCGCTCTATCTGAAGATAAATGCAAAAGTGTCCTCAGGTGAGGATAAAAAGAAAGAAAAAGAACAAACTGCTGATCCACACCATGTGGCCGAATCGCACTCACATACATCACGCTGATTGAAACAAGCCAGACACCGAATCACGCGTGCTTTCTGACTCCGCCATCTGATGCTCTGGAGTAGGTGACAAGAACAATCACCTGTGTTTTCCAGAAGCTCCAAAGTCACTGCTGGGGTGCTGGGAGGAGACAGACTGGGAAAGATGATGAGGGAACTCTGGCATGTGTGATCTGTTGTACACTGCTGAATTCTACGTGCTAACTTTGATTTCGGGATCTTTGCTTCTGTGTTTAGGAGAGATGCTGGCCTGTAGTTTTCCTTTCTCACAAGGTCTTTGTCAGGTGGCAGCACCAAGGTAATTCTGGCTATCATAGAATGAATGGGGGAAGATGTGCCCTTTTCCTATTTGATGGAAAAAGTTGGTATTGCTTCCTCCGGAAGTGTTTGAAGGTTCGCATTAGTGAGCACATCGAGGGCAGGAATTTTCTTTGTGAGAAAGGTTTCTGTGACAGGTTGTGGCAGCTGACTAATGCTCTCCTCGCACTCACCCCTCAAAAAAAATCCGCACCCTAATTCCCAGAATCTGTGACTGCTACCGTACCTGGCAGAAAGGACTTGGAAGATGTGATTACGGCTCTTGAGATGGGAGATTATCCTGGAATATCTGGAAAGTCTCTACATCTGGTAATATTTCCTGCCGTAAAACCACTGTTTCTAATATTACAGAACACCACCGGGTTTCTTAAGCTTATTATTTGTATGTTATAACTTTTCTATCACTTAATGTCAATGTGTCTTCATATTTCAAATATATTACATGTAGACACCATGAAGTTAGTCTGAAACCTCTGCCTTTTAATTGGAATGTTTAGTTCATTTGCACAGAATGATTATTGACTTTTTAATTTAGGTGTACTATTTTTCTACCTTTTTACTTTCTCCTATCTAGTGTTCTGTTCTTCTAGTCTCCCTTTCCTACTTTTTTTCTGGATTAATTGGTATTTTTAATTCCTTTAATGGCATTTTAGATATATCTTTTGGGATTATTTTAGTGTTTGCTAGTGGGATTATAATATGCACTCGAATGATCACAATCTACTAAGTGTTAACATTGCGACACTTTACAGAAAATGTACGAGCCTTGGAAAAGCACAATTACATTCATGCCGCTATCTGCTTTATGTTGTTATCATATATATTACATGTACAGGTGCTATAATCCCCAAAATACGGAATCATACTTTGCTCTATAGATTCATATGTCTTTCAAAAGAATTATGAAAAAAAACACATCTATTTTATAAACTTAGTTTGTATCTCACAGTCTTATCCTGCAAACACTTCTCTCTGCATTCCCGTATCAAAAAGGATTGAAAAATACCATCTGCTTCACCTCCCCCCTCAATTGGCTTTGTCCTCGTTAACTTCTTTGTTGTTCCTATAGTGCCTTTTAGTATGTCGGGAAAGTAAGTAGAAATAAACGGTCAACAGAGCATTTTAAACAGAACGTCAGGCTACTTATTTCTTCTCTTCCTGCAGCTTGACTGTAACATCCCAGGGGGGGCGTCAGCTGTCTGACTTCCAGGACGCTTGTCCTCCCTGATGCATTGCCCCATCTTCTGGCCTGGGACACAGAGGGTTACCAGGGTACACACACAGTGACCGTGGTCCCATCTGGAGGGAGCTGGAGCTGTGAGCGAGAGAACAAGGGCTGTGTTTTTGTGGTGAGGAATGGGTGAGGGTTGCAGAAAGGGCAGGTTTTGGAGAGGTTCCTCCTGATCGCTCCCCCTGGTGGCTTAGGAGTCATGGAGAGAGACAGATGCAGTCATAGCTCAGGTCACAGAGTCTTGGAAAGTATCCTGTTTTCTTGTTCTCAATCGAGCCTGGCGAAAGGGTCAGGAGTAGGAAAGCAGACAAAGGAACAGTTATAAATTGCCCCCAAATAACACAAGAAACCAAGATAGGTGACTTCCAAAGTCAGTGCCATTGACACTGTCGCTGGAGAAGAAGCATTCCTCACAATATGTAGCAGAGCTATCACAGTGCAGGGCTGCCCTTGACCCAAGGCTGCTGGGGTTGAACTGGGAAGGGAGCAGTGGGGTACACTCATGTTCGTGTGTGTGTGTGTGTGTGTGTGTGTGTGTGTGTGTGTGTGTGTGTTTACACTTGCATGTGTGTGCACATGAGCACATCATAGGAACACAATGTATGAAGGTCAATCTCTAGTTAACATCAGCTGTTTAATCCTTCATTAACATCTTCTCCAAAAGCCACAAGACAGTAGGTGAAGACTTCTCCGGCTTTGAGCATCTGTAAATGTCAGGGGGCACCTCTACATCAGGAAAAATATTTTTCTCCACCTGAAAAGTTTCTTTGCACTACACACAAGGGACTAATTATTTCCTCACTTTGAAAACTTTGTAAGAAATCAAAACAATTATCTCCTCCTTGGATGGCATGCACCTTCCACTAATACGTCAGGGCATATCACTCAGAATTTTCTCTTGAGAGACTCATTTCTTCAGCTCTCCCAACCTCCGAATCATGGCCCTCTCCCTGTCACAGCCCAAGCACCAAAACCTTTTATTCCTATTCTCCTCTTCTCAAGTGGTGAAGCTCTTGACTTCTGGGTTTGGGGGTTGGTTTAGGATAAATGTATCACCTCATCATCACCAGAATCCCACAGGAACAACTCTGTCTCAGATTTAGATAAATATAAAATAAATTTTATTATGGCACTATTAGGCAGATATTTTCTTAACCTTGGGGACTGAAGGACCTTGCTAAAGAGTATTTTAGAAGTATTTGCCATTAATTTCCTAAATATCTTTTCCCTTGGTGACTATTCTTCCAGGTCTTATTGCTGAAGACAGAGCCTAAGAGTTAAAACCTCAGAAATCTTAATTTAAGCTTTATATTAACTTGTTAAGTAAGCTAGACCAAATAATTCAGCTTCCAAAATCTCATTAGAATTGGAAGAAGGGGGATTTAAAATGGAGAGAAACTCTATCCTAGTGAGATCGATCCTTAGATTCCCTTCTATTTCAGGTGTATGTAATGTCACTAGAGAAACTCAAGGATGGTATTTGCATTTGAGGCAAAATGTGAATTGGATAGACCGGTTTGCTGAATGGAATCTGTGGATTCGTTTTACAGTGTCTCCCTTCAAATCCAAAGGTCTGCAGTTCCTTTTCTGACAGATTGATGGTGGGCATAGCAGGGAGACTGCGTTTGTGACCGATTCGCTGCTCCTCTGCAAAGGTGACCCAGAATGGCTTTCGGAGACTCAGTATGTGCATCACTATGCTTCCCATGGTCTTAATTCATCTATATCATGATCCATAAAGGACGTAAGAGGTATAAAGTATCTACTACGGTTCTGATACTGAGAATACAGTGAATGTTGAATAAGCACATCTTCTGACATAACAAGGATGCCATTATCACACGAGAAAATAACACATTACTTCAGTAATATAAAATATAGTCCATATTAAAATTTTCTAAATTTTTCTCAAATATGTTTATAGCTTTTTTAAAACTCAAAGATCCTATCAGGTATTGCATTTGATTGTTTTTGTTTTTTAATTGATCACATTTCCTCTGATCATTTTTAGCTTTTCATTTTTATTTTTTTTATAATTTTTTTCTTTTATTGATTTTTGTGAGAGAGAACATCAATTGGCTGCTTCTTGCACATCCCCCAATGGGGATCAGGCCCACAACCTGGGCATGTGCTCTGACCGGGAATCAACCCGGTGACCTCTTGGTGCATGGGTCAACGTTCAACCACTGAGCCGCACCAGCTGGGCTGTGCCATATTTTCTTGATCCACTTGTCGTCAGTAGACACTTAGGTTGCTTCCATATCTTGGCTGTTGTTAATAATGTTACAATGAACATAGGGGTGCATATATTTTTTATAATTAGTGTTTTAGATTTCTTTTAAATAATTGATGTCTTCTTCCATTTCAATATCTTATAAATTACTAAGTACAAGTCTTTTATCTCCTCAGTTAAATTTATTCCTAGGTATTTTATTCTTTTTGATATAATTGTAAATGTGACTGCTTTCCTAATTTCTCTTTCTAATCATTTATTATTGGTGTATAAAAATGCAACCAATTTCTAAATATTAATTTTGTGTCCTGCTACTGCATTGAATTTATTTATCAGTTCTAATTGTTCTTCTGGTGGAATATTTAGGATTCTCCATAAATATAGTATGTCATTTGCAAATATGACAGTTTTATTTCTTCCTTTTCCCATTTGAATGCCTTTTATTTATTTTTCTTGTCTGATTGTTGTGACCAGGACTTCCAATACCAGGTTAGGTAAAAGTAGACATCTTTGTCTTGTTCCTGATCTTCAAGAAAAAAACTTTAGCTTTTCATCACTGAGTATATTATCTGTGGGTTTGTAATTTTTTTTTTAATCCTCACCCAAGGACATTTTTCCATTTTTTGTTCAGATAGAGTGGGAGGAAGAGAGAGGGAGAGGGAGAGGGAGAGGGAGAGGGAGAGGGAGAGGGAGAGGGAGAGAGAAACATCAATGTGAAAGGGACACATCGAGTGGCTGCCACCCACACGACCAACCAGGGCTGGGTACAAACTGCAACCAAGGTACATGCCCTTAGCGGGAACCAAACCTGGGTCTCTCTGCAGGCCGATGCTCTAACCGCTGAACCAAACTGGCCAGGGCTGGATTTGTCATTTTTTGCCTTTGTTATGTTCAGGTATAGTCCTTCTATTCCCACTTTGCTGAGAGTTTTTATTATAAATGGGTGTTGGTTTTTCTTAAATGCTTTTTCTGCATCTATTGATATGATCATATAATTTTATCCTTAATTTTGTTTATGTGGTGTACTGTGTTAACTGTTTTACAAATATTAGACCAAACTTGCATCCCAGAAGGAAATCGCACATCATCATGGTAGTGTATGATTTTTTTGATGTATTGCTTAATTCGGCTTGCTAATATATTGTTGCATCTATGTTCATCAAGGATATTGGCCTATAATTTTATTTTTACTTTTTTTGTAGTGTCTATCTGGTGTTGGTACCAGAATAATACCAATCACGACAACGGTGAAGTGAGAGGCACACATAGAGAAGGCTTTCCTCCGGCCAAGGCTGAGGGGATCATGAGGATGGTGGAGATGATGTAGGTGTAGGAGACAATTGTAGGGCTCAAAGAACCAACGATAATGAAAATGGCCATTAAAAACAGAATAAACTCTGTGAAAAGGCTGTCATCACAGGATAGGCTGAGCAGTTGCCCTTGGTCACAGTAGAAATGGTCTAGCACGTTGATTTGCAGAAGGTCAGCTGAAACGTGGCATAGACGGGCCAGATCTCAGAAAGGAACCCAAACAGCCACGACACAGTTACCACCCAGATGCAGGTGTGGCTGCTCATAATGCTGCTGTACCTCAGAGGGTTACAGACGGCCACGTAACGGTCCACAGCCATCGCCCCCAGTAACACCAGCTCCGACGACCCCAAAGAAAGGTACAAGTATAGTTGTGCCCCACTGGCAGGCATAGATGTTGCCTGCATCCCAGGGAGCAGCAAGCCCCAGAGCATCAAGGGGACGGCCACGGATGTGGTCAGGATCTCTAGGACAGAGAGGTGGCCCAGGAAGAAATACATGGGGGACTGCAGACATTTATGAACACAGACAGTCATGATGACGACCGTGTTTCCTGTTATTGTCTCTGATCAGAAGAGGAAGAAGGTAGCAGACAAGATACAGCAGAATTGTTGGGAGCCAGGGAAGCCCAAGAGATACAGTCAGTGGAATAGGTGACTTCCCAGCATTTGTTTCTGAGTGCTTGCTCCTTCTGAAATCTAGAGAGCGAAAGAGAGGTTACACTGCGTCTGGTCTCAAAAGGAGCGGAAACAGTTCCAGGTAGAGAAATAATATTATCTTCCTGCTCATGGGCTCCACGGCATGCCTAGAAAGGGGTCGTGTTCTAGTGTTCCTTCCACATGGTCACTGCTGTTTTTTAAGAATATACATTACATATGAAAAGAATAGAACCTGGCCCAGAAATGAGCCCAGTCTCCAATGTGCCATCTCATAGGCTCTGCCCAGCACACACCATCTGCATCTCTCAGTCCACAGGTCATCCTCTCTCACACTGTTCTGAACAGCCACCCATGTCTGCCTCCCTGACTACAATGTGCTCCTTTGTACCACTAACTTCCTTCCATCTGGAATGCCCTAAACAACCTGGTCCTTCCAAGCATATATATTTTATTCTTGCAAGCCCTGTTCCCGTATCACATCCAATAGAAATGTTTTCCTGCCCAATCCCACCCAATCTGGTATGTGTTTACTTTGTATCTTGATGGCCCAGAGACCAGTTGAACTATATCATTGTGAAGCGTTTCCTGACCTCTGTCATCACTGGTATCAGACAGGAGTGGGGATGGAAACTCTCTGAGAGTTCTGTAAGATCTGGAGGGTAAGGGCCAAGTCTTTCTCAGTCTACTGACTGCTCAGCTAGTTCTCTGAGTGAATTACTGCTTTCTTCCTCCTTATTCTTGGGAGGAAAGGTCTACCTTGCTTTTCTCCCCAGTGAATGTGTCTTCTCATAGGAGATGGGCTAATTAGCACATGAGCTTAGTCAGTCTGGCCTCGAAGAGTCTAATACCAACAATCACCAGACTCACAGGAGGAAGGTCTCCAGGAGGGCCTGGGAGGAGGTCCCACCCTCAATCTCTACCTGCCCAACATCGAACTCATGCTGGGACTGGCAGACATGAGGCTGAAGGCCCAGTTTCAACACCACCTGCCTTTGCAAGAGCTCAAAACCCTAGATCTGGGCCCATCCCAAGCCCCATGTATAAGTGTCCATGGTGTCAGTCTAACAGAAGGTGAGGTGAGTTCCCCAGAACCAATGCCCTTTTTACAACCAGATTTTTCCTCCAAAATCATATATATACACTAAAGAGTCAGTTGTCACTAACATAAAATAGACCCAAGGACCTGAGCTCCTTAGGATTTCTGGGACCCAGCCCCCATCTCCTTCAGGTCCTTGCTCAAGGGCCTAAGCTCAGGGAGCCTTTGCTCATCAGCCTCTCTAAGAACACATACCACTCTTCACTCCCCGTCACCTCACCAGGATCTTTTACATTCTCAGCTCTCCGTACCTAAAATTACATTTAGTTTTTGTTATTTTCTGTCTCCCATTTTACAATGTAAGCTCCATGAAAACAGAAACTCTGTCATGCTTATTTACTGTTTCTGATACTTGAATATTTTTGAATGAATGAATGAATGAATGCATGAATGAATGAATGACTCAATCAGTTAAGGAATGAATCTATGAACAAAGTTTATTTAGTCCTGATTAATGGCCAATTTTGGAGCAAACTTTGCTTTCTCTCCCTTCAGTCTTCACAGAAACACCGCCTGAGCCAACATGAGGTTCTCTCTCTCTCTCTCTCTCTCTCTCTCTCTGGATCCCTTATGAAGTGGCCACTGAGTAACAAGGATCAAAAATAGACTTGTTGGGAGAGCTCAGCATTCTGTCTTCAATAACTGCTGCTTGGCCAGGACCACATGACAGGAAGAAGAGAGGAGAGTCCTGACAAAAGCCAGGAGCTGTGTCTGGTCCAGCACTGGTCAGGGAAGCTCTGAATCTGCTCTCTTCTGTGCACGGGGCACTTGGAGATGAGCCCATCTACTCCGCTGCTCCTCTGGCCCACTGTAGGTGTCCTGGGTGAAGACAGCAGCCAAGCCCACAACTTCCCATCCGGACGCTCTCTTACTCTGTCCTTCAAGAGGGCAAATCCTCAAAGACACTCACTTCCAGAGAAAGAGGCTGAACTGGAAAGTTCTATGGCTCTCCTGGAATCAGCCCAGGCCACCTCCTGACTAGTGCTGAGCATGCTCTTTGGGCCAGAGCAAACCTCTGCTTGTCTTCACTCTCAGTGACAGAGAAAACTGTCTTCACACGGGCACTTGGGGGGAAATCCAGTAACAACTGCTGCAGGAAGTCCAGTGTGTCTGACTTTCTCGCTCCTTCTTTTCCACCTCAGTGTCTCCCCAAAGAGAGTTACACACTGAAGAACCCTAGGGATGCAGTCAAGGGAAAGCCAGAAAAACTTTCAGCCCTTCTCCCCTGAGGCTAATCAAATTGTTGAACTCTCTGAAGTTTTTTGTTGGGAAAACTTGACATCTCCCTTATCAGGAGTTTCTTAGCAGCCAAGGTGCCTTCCTCCCAGGCCCCAAGTCCTAGTTACCATAAAACAGTTCAAACCAGCCTCCTGTTCTCTTCTGTGCATCTACCTCATTCCACGTAGCCCTACTGAGCCTAAGATTCCCTGCAAGCAGAAGATACCGCAATGTATTCCCACATACACATAAAAAACCACAGGCCAGGGACAGGCAAGTTACGTGAGTAAAACAGTGTTGTGGGCAGTGGTTCCACAGAAACATCGGAAAACCAGCAAAGGCTGTCAGAACTAACTTTGTCAGAACTCTGGAAAACATTCAAACAGTAAAGCAACAAAGGAAACACGGACTCAGGAACAAGGCAACTTAGAGATGTTAGCAAAGCTCCGTGGTGTTTTTCCATCTCCTTGCCCACTCTCCCCCAGCTTGACGGCAGTCTTGAAAACAGCGATCTGCGTTCCTGGCGTGGGTCCCCATTTCCTGGTTCTAGAGTACTTTGCCTGTCTGTTCTAACCTGTCTGGGGCTACCGGAAGGATTCATACGGGATGCTGATCTTTGTTTAATCTAAGACAGAGCTCAGGGTGGAAAGAGGTGAGCATTGCCCAAGCAGGCTTTGTTTACTAACAACCTGCAGCCACCTGGGGGGAAAGACAGACCATCTAAAGCCTCGGTGGTAAAGTTTCTTTGGGAAATTAGGGAATTTAAAAGCATATACACATACTGGGGAATTAAAAAAAAAAAACTCATACATATGTATAGGGCAAGATGCACACTCAGAAAAAACCTAAGAAGACACCAACCTTTTGCTGTTAAGTAGGATAAACTCAGAGAGATCCACACCAAGGCACAGTATAGTCAGTCAATAGAGAAAGACCAAGAGAATCCTGAAATCAGTGAGAGAGAGGCACGTTGTCACTTATAAGGAATTCTCATCAGATTATCAGCCAATTTTTTACCAAAAATTATGTGGGATGGTGAGGACAATAAGATAGCGTACTTAACGTGCTGGGGGAAAAAAAAACTTTATCCAAAACTTCTGGATCCAGCAAAACTGTCCTTCAAAAATGAGGGATAATGAAGACAATCCTAGATGAACAAAAGCTGAGGGAGTGTTTCCAGTAGACTTGTCCTCGATGAAATGCTGAAGAGTCCTTCAGGTTCACATGAGACCTTGAATCCACATGAGGATATAAAGAGCTCCACTAAAGTAGAGCTAACATAAAAGCTGGGGTTAATATAAAAGCCAGTTTTATTGTATTTGGGTTTTTATAACTCCACTTTATTTCCTACATAATTTTAAAAAATGTATAAAAAATAACCATAAGTATGTTTTTAGTTGTTGAGTTGTCGGAATCCTTTCTGTATTCTGGATAGTAAACCCTTATTAGCTATATGATTTGCAAATATGTTATCCTATTTTGTAGGTTATCTTTTCACTTTCTTGATAATGTTCTTTGATGAACAAACGTCTTTTTAGTTTTTATAAACTCCAATTTATCTATTTTTTCTTTTGTTGCTCATGCTTTTGGTGTCATATCTGAGAAACTATTGATAAATTCAAGGTCGTGAAGATTTATTCCTACGGTTTCTTCTAAAATTGTTATGGTTTTAGCTCTTATATTTAGGTTATGATCCATTTTGATTTAATTTTGATAATGGCATGAGGTAGGGGTCCAGTTTCTTTTTCTATATGTGGAAAACCAGTTCTCCCAGAACCACTTGCAATAGTAATTATTCTTTTCCCCATGAATGTTTTAGAACCCTTGTTGGAAATCAATTGGCCATATAAGTTTATTTATGAACTCTCAGTTCTACTCTATTGGTCTATACATCTATCTATATGCTTGTACTACATTGTTTTGATTATTGAAGCTTTGCAGTAAGTTCTGAAATTAGGAAGTGTTATTTATACATACAAGTAAGAAAATTTTTGAAATGTAGGATAGTAAATATCTAATATTGGAGAATATGAGGTTGAATGACTTACTCAAGGTCACACAGCAATTTAATAGCAAAACAGACTTAATGACCAGGGTCTCCTGATTCCTAGTGTTTATTATTAATACAAAATATTAATATATGGAGGGTTTCTTGTAAATTATAAATTGTCCTGGATGATCTCTTAGAACCTACAAACTTTAAAATGATAAGGTTCAAAGATATTCTTTAGAATTCATTTTATTTTGGCACATAATAGATGTTTAGTAAATTTTGCCTATACATCTCATCCTAGAGTAAGCTCCTAGAGAGGAAAGCTAAATATAAAATTTGAAAAAGAAAAATAGGTCAATCCCTTTTAAATTTGGAAGCACAAAAAGATGTTTCTCACTGTGATACAAAATCCAGAAGCATAAAAGAAATGATAGATTTGACTATATAAAAATATTTTAGCTTAACTTTTGTCTGTCAAAATAACCTTAAGAAAACTCAAACACAAAAACAAATTTAGAGAAAATATTGGTAAACTATATTACAGATAAAAAGCTAACATCCTTAATACATAAAATCCTCTTTAAATCAAGAAAATAGATCAGGGGGATGGGGAGTAGGTGGAGGTGGACAAAGGGGGGGAATTGGGGATGAAAAAGACTTTGCTTTGAGTGATGGGTACACGATGCAGCGAGCAGATAATGTTTTGTTGAGTTGTACACTTGAAATGTGTATGGTTTTATGAACCAATGTCACCCCAATAAATTCAATTAAAAATAAAACAGATCAAAAGTGACTAAAAAAGTAAAAAGTAGAAATAAACACTTCTCAGAAAAGATAAACAAATGGCCCTTACAAGTATAACGTTAACCTTCACTCATTTTAAGAGAAATTCACATTAAAATGACAATGAGATACCATTTCTCATCTATAAGATTGGCAAAATGATTTGTTGGGGAGACTGAGGCAGAACAGAGAAAACTGCTTTCCTGATGACTTTGATGGCAGGTTCAAGGATGCTCACAGAGAAAAGGGGTGGGGCAGGGCTATGTCCGCCTACTACCCTGTGACATGGGGAGACTATCTAACATTCATTCTATTCTGTACAAATAAGAGACTTACACTTTTGGATTATGTCTTGTGATAAAACATACTCAAGAATACACATAAGAGGAAGAGAAGTTGGTGGAGATAAACATGGACATATAAATAAATATATAGCAGCCTATCACTGATGAAAGTTGGCTGAAATACAAGGCTTGGATAGGTGGGATCAATGCACCTCAGGCAGGCATAAAAAAAACTGCAGGCTTCCCCCATGCCCACCCCACCCCCTTCTCCAGCTTGGCCCCTGCAAACCCACTACATGGAGCTGCTGGCTCCCAGAGGAGCCATAGAAGGAAAAGGAAAGGAGGTGAGCTTGGTCTTTGCCCCTGAACTCATCAGGCAGAAAGATCCCTGCACCCTCCTTTAGAAGTAGAGGGGAGAGTAGGGCAAGAGGTCAGGAGTGTTTAATGACAACCTCTCCTAGAAACCAGTGAGATGGGGAGTAAGTGAAACTACCCTAATAATATAACCTGTCACACTCTGTCATACAACCCACCCTTCCAGTTATATCCAGCGAATCTTTTGTGTTTACTTACCCTGTACTGTCCCCATTCTAGACTACTTACTAGTTGCCAAATGCTTACTTACCAAATGCTGTCCCTATCTCCCTGAGTTCAGACTTCTGTCCATGCTGGTTCTTGAAACACACTCCCTTCCCATCTTTGTCCATTAATATTGTACCTGGAGTTTACGGACTGGCTCAAATGATGACTCTTCCAAGCAAACTGTTCTTCCATCCAGATGCGATCTCTTCCCCTTGGGATTTCCCAAGCACTCTGCACCTCCCCGCAACAACTTAGCAGGTCTGGCACCGCACTCTAGTTATTTGTGTACATGTCTTATCCCAGGTGTGTGGCTTCTAGTTCATAGCTCTTGGTTCGGGGACAGGGTTTACCTTAACAGTCTTCACAGAGGCTGGTGCAGTATTGAACACAGTGCAAGTGTTCAGCACGTTTTTGTTAAAAGAGGAATAAAATGTGTGTGTGAAGGAATGAGGAAGTCCCCAGATTCTCATTTCTAGAAAAGATTTGCCAAATGACAACCCAAATGCTCTTTGAGAAATGCAGAAATGGCCCTGGCCAGTTTGGCTCAGCGGTTAGAGCATTGGCTTGCGGTCCAGAGAAATGCAGAAATGTACTGTGATGTTCAAAGAGAGTGATGTGCCTCTTGGGGATGTAATGATCGAGCGATGGTTTCCATGTATTGTGCACCTATCGTGTATCAGATGCTCTGCAGCTTCGGGGTGTCTCATTCAAACAATAGCCCTATTACCAAGGGAGATTCTAACATCCATTCAGATCTTACTATCTACTATGGCCTCTTCTAAGACCTACATACTTATTATGTGATGTATAATCCACAGCTACTCTGTGTGGTACTAGTAGCATGATCTCTATTTTAATAGATAAGCAAAATAAAAAAGAGGTAAGGGAACATACCCAAGGTTCTCATACATTGTAATAAAGCCAGGATACAAACGCCAACAGTGTGACCCCACAGTTTGATTCCTTCATTAGTAGTTATTCTCATCCCCATTTGTGGAAAGACAGAACTGAAGGAAGTTTAGAAGGTTAAAATCTACCCCAGACACACAGTTAATTTAACAGTGAGGCTGGGGTTTGAAAGTAGATCGATATGATTCTACAGCTTCGTGTCAGCCCCTAACATCTACTGCCCTCCCTACAAAGGGACACCCTCTCCTGTCTAACAAACTGAAAAATATTTTGAGTGACGAAGCTTTGGACCTCAATTCAAGAAGACAGGATGGAGCCTAGAGGAAATAATAATCTGGCATATCTATAAATGCACATCTACATATAAATACTATAAAGACCTATAGGTTTTATAGCTATCTTTATGTTATCTAAATGCCTAAGACACAAATGTTGATTTCCCCCATCAAACATAATGCCACAGCAAACTCCTGGCCAATGTTCCAGGTCCTCAGCCATTAACTCCATCTCCAAAGAAAGAAGGAATACAATGAAACATGAATGACGTAATGCATAGATGGATGGGGTAGGTAAGTCCCTTGACGTCCTCCCAACCACTCGATGCCACCAGCAGCAGGTGCGATGGGACGAGGTGCGGGGTGGAGATGGCACAACGAGCATCACTCGAGGTCCTGAGACTTTTGTAGAACCAGCACGATCGGGACTATGTGTGGTCTCTGGACCGGGGCTGGTCCTTGAACGGTTTGCTACTGTGCTGTGAAAAGAAACTCTCGTAAGCCAAAATGTAAATATTTTAAAACAGAGCACAGGCTAGCTGAAGTTCTTGGTAGACCACATTAAAATGGGGATGGGAAAGGAAAGGCTTTACAACCAATCACCTGCAGGATCAGAGTTTAGGAGAAATTGACAGAATAATTAGAAAAGCGATGACACTCTTCAAAAATCAGTAGTGATAAACGGTCCACTCTCACATAGATAGATAGATAGATAGATAGATAGATAGATAGATAGATAGATAGATAGATAATAGGTAGGTAGGTAGGTAGGTAGGTAGACAGATAGACAGACAGATTTGCCCTTTTCTTTTTATACTGGGGTGTGAGATGACATGGAGAGAAGAGAATTCATACCAGAAAGATCACATTCTGAAAATATGAAAAAGAAAATAATGCCCAATAATTGAAGAATTGGTAAGCCAGCAACTCCAAAGCCTGATTCAAGCTAGAACAACAGCCATGTAGAGGAGACAGAGCTGTAAGTTTAAAGCCAGAAGAAAAGCGAGGACAGACGTGGAGGTCAGTTGTTAGGAAGATCTTCCCAGCAAAAAAGCTCAGGCGGCAGCTGGCTCAGCTGGCTGCGGACAGCACCCCATCGGGTGTAGATTAGGATGGAGTGTGTGTCTAACCACGTGTGGTAGGAATTGAGGAGGCAACGAAAGGACGAAACAGGTGGGAATTGTTAAAATCACTAATAGCTGCCCAATTTCTGAAACCCGTGCACATGGAGCATTTCCCGTGTTATCTCTGATCCCCATGAACCGTCTTAAAAGAAAGAATGGTTCCATCTAATGAACAAAATCAACTGATGAACAAAATAGAAACAGAGGCATAGATACATGAACAGACTCACAGCTGTCAGAGGGGAGGCGGAGGGGGGACTGGATGAAAGAAGGTGAAGGGATTGGCCAAAGAACATATAGACATAACTCACAGACACAGAACAGTGTGGTGAAGGCCAGAGGGGAAGGGGTGGGGGGTGGGTGGAGGTGGGCAGAGCGGCAGGGGTGGGGAATGGGGACCTCTGTAATAGTGTCAACAAAAAAAGAAAGAAAGAATGTTTTTTGTTGTGTGAAGCTTTGTAAAAGCAGGTGATTGACATCAACCAGAGAGCAACTTGAACAGACAAATCCGAATATTTCACAGGACAAAACAAAATGTGTTTCCCATTTCAGACACTAAAATGTCTTGAATGCCCAATATTTTACATGAAAATGGACAGGCTTTAGTTTAGAAATCAGTTTAATCTATCGTGGATTAATGAAAAAGAATATGTGGAGAACACATATTTAAAGTGACCAGCAAGTACCTCTGGGGTAGGCTTATGGATGAAAGTGTGTGCTCACGAACACGTGTGTGGTATAGAAAGTGCGCCCAGACCCGCGTTAGAAAACTCCCAGGCATAATCCTCACTACTCTCTTTCCCTTTCAAAAGCATGTGTGGCCTTGGCCGGTTTGGTTCAACAGTTAGAGCATCAACCCAAAGACAGGTAAAGGGCACATACGTAAGTACCTGGGTTGCAGGTTCGATCCCTGGCCCCGGTCAGGGTCGTGCAGGAGGCAACCAGTAGATGTGTTTCTCTCCCATCAATGTTTCTCTCTCCCACCCTCCCTTCCACTCTATCTAAAAATTAATGGAAAAGTATCCTCGGGTGAGGATTAACAAAAAAACAAAAACAAAAAAAAAGTATGTGTGATTCTAAGCAAATAAAAAATCAGTAAACTGGAAGGAAAATGTATTGGGAAAAAAGCCATCGTACCATTTTATGAAACCCTTCTTATTTGTAATATGCATTATTTCTGTAGTTCAAAATACAGAAATCCTTATTCCAAAAATCACACACACACACACACACACACACGATGTTAGAAGAATTGCTAAATCATCTAATCAATTTTCAGCAAATTACTGTTCAACAATGTGGCATGTGGATTATATGTAGCCCAGACAGACTCCTGGTAATTATTACCTCTCATTTCTACTTGTCATTTTTTTGTTGTTGTTCTTAGGATAAAGCAGAGAGTATTTCAGGGGAAGTATTTGAGTTAGTAGGATCCAAAAAGCCTCCTGGGTGACCTCCACTTCTTGAGACAAAGTTCATGTTTTCAATGTTGTAAACACTTGTTCATGAGTTGGGGACAAGCAAACAAGCAGTCAAAGGAACTAGAGCTGTGCCAACATCCAGGATGGTCCCTGCTGTCTTTTGAAACTCCAATCGAGCCTAGGTCCTAGGAAAGCCTGGGACTGAGATGCATACTGTGGTCACCGTGGGTCAGCTGGGATATAAGGTGTCCCTGGAGCTCTAGATCCACTTATTTTGTAGAAATAACGTTCTTGATCCATGGACTGTAGCTGTGGAGGTCAGTGAAGACAATAATGTATCCTGTCAGAATACATCCAGTTGCCCAAGACATAATTCCTCGTAATTCACGGTCACAGATGACCGGTGCAGCTGTGACCACCTGCCGGACAGAGTAGAACAATCAGAACTTCCCTCCTCCCGGGAATTCTTCAGCATCTGGACAAAAAATGGAAGCCACTCTATTTGCCATGCAAAGGAGCCAGGGTCTAAGGAAATCGTCTGAAAGCTTCTCACCCTGCACTAACTACCCCTACCTCCCAGTAATCCCTAGCTAGAAATTTCAAAGCAGTCGCTGGAAAATAGCTTTGAAATCCCAGAATATCGATTTCTCTCATCTCTGACCCAGGGAAGAGGCCAGAGAGTCTTCATTCTTCAGCTCCTTACTCTCTGGGCTCTTAGCCTGACTGTAAATTCCACACCTTCGACAAAGATGAGCAGTAACAGAGACACAAAGATGGGGGTGGGGGCTGAGCATTTAGGCAAATGAGATCAATTACCTGGCACTGCTGTCCATTCCCTTCTATGTTACTCATACAGAACATGTCTTCAAGGAATTTTTTACCCAGTAATTTTTTGCATTTCAAATCTGGAATCCATTGAATCCTCATGCTGTACAGGTTATTGTCTGGGTTTCCTAAGCCCAAGAAATAAAAGAGAGTTTCATTCCTGTTTGCACTTTTAAAAGGAATCCTGCCCCCTCCTCCTCCTTCCGGGCTTATTCTTGGTCAACATAGACTGCGGAGGAAGACCTGATGGAACTCATCATGGATTCAGCACAGCCTCCTGCTCAGGGCATCACCTCTGGCAGATGATCAGTATCAATGGGTAGATGGTGAGAAGACAGCAAGCAAGATCAAATTCAAGCAATACCATCACCAAGCCTGTGACCTTGGACACTTACTTCATCTACCCTGAGTCTCGGTGTTCTCATTTAAAAGATATAAATCCTAAGGAGACATCTACATGATGTATGATGACGACTGAATAATATGTAGAAGGGACTTAGTACTTGGTAAAAAACTAGGGCTCAACAAGTGGTAACTATTGTTGATGTCATAATTATAACAATATCACTCCTGTCAGGCAAAGGGTAAATATGATTTTCAAATTAAGATTCGAAGAAGTTAAATAATGTGTTCATAATTCTATAATAAATGGCAGAACCAATACCCAAGCACACATCCTGAATTGCAGCCCCTGTTGTGTGTACCAACATGTATATACAGGTGACAGCTTGATTTAGGACTTGATTCCCAAAGCCCAAAAGGAGATCACCCTTCTACTTCAGAGAGCCAATACTGTTGCTCTGTTTCTAGCTTTACACGTGCGCTTAGAAATCTGGCACTGGGGCTGTATGTTCCAATTCCTTCCCCTCATTCCTCAGAGATCCTGAAGATGTGAATATCTCCCAGAACACAACTAACTATTCTTTTGGACAGTCACTCACCAAAAACTTCTTGATACTGTAACCAGGTGTGAATCAAGCAATCTTTAATTTCATTTTTCACAAGAGCAGGCAACGGAAGAACCTCAGGGGAGAAGAAGGTGAGAGGCATAGACAACTTGATCAGCATCAGGTCATTTTTAGGAGAAGTGACAGTGAAGTTGGGATGAACAAAGATCTTCTCATAAGGTAGGATCTCCCCAGTGAAGTCTTGAAATTTTCGAGCACCACCAAAAAAGGTGATCTGGAGATCTCTAGAAAATGAAGAGAGAGAATAATGATACTACCACACATCATAAAGCTAATCTGTCTCTCTCTCTCTCTCTCTCTCTCTCTCACACACACACACACACACACACACACACACATGCATGCACAAACACAACTTCCTTCTATAATAACTCATTCAATCTTCTCATCTCTGTCCATTTGGTTTTTTATGCGTAGCTATGACTAGTGGTCATGTAAGTTGTGTACTATATCAATTCAATAGGTCACCATTTCCATAGCCTATAATGTGAATGGTGCCTCCAAAAATTACCCAGTGCAATGGCTGGGCTCTGCTCTTAGCATGATTTCAGAGCAGCTCCAATCCAAGACCAAGAAAGTTGAAAGAAGCAAGCAAGTGGACAGTCAAGGTTTCTGTGAAAGTAGGAGGTTCTATTAGGAAGGCTCCTTTGGGAGTAGGAGGAAACAAGTGTGAGGTTATACAAAGAAAATAAGTTACAGCTTAGAGAGTTGAAATACTTTAAAGTTAGAGAGGATCACCTGAATATACTATGTTCTACATCTCTATCAAAGCTTTGCTGGATCAACAAGGTTTTCTGGTGGTCCTTTAGGAGAACAATAGTAAAAAATCCTAGATCTTCCACTGAGATCCAATTGGGATCCACTCACTATTATGGCTCAAGACACTAATTTCAGAACAGGTCACTTCCCTGAGGCCCCCGAGTCTCTCACTCAGGGGTCTCTCTAATCATAACAGTAAAGTAAGTAGCACATTGATAACTGAGCATCAGGTTTTTTTGTTGAACTCCCAAATGTTAAAATCTGTTTTGTCGCCTAACAACAATACCATTTTTATCTCAGTCTGTTCTTATCATCTTGTTGGGATTTTATAAGATAAAATTAAAGATAAGACAGGAATGGGCCCAATAACTCCATCCTTAAGCCAACCCCATGGACTGACAAGTTTAGAAGGTCTTATCAAAGCAGCATCCTTTAGATAAGCTTTACCTTGGGTCAATTTTATAAGACAATGTACATGATGAGAGCTCTCCTCTGTCTTGTTCTCAGCTCCTGAGAACTGCTGTCCTTATTTTCATCTGCTTGGAGTGAAGGATTTTGCTGAGCCCCAGTTGGGTATGATCTTTGGTCAAGTGGATTGTTGCAGTTCTCATTGGATCATCTCAGTCTGTTTGGTCCTCTGTACCAAACACATGCTCCCTTCATGTTTAAATTCACATGGTATCACTCTAAATGGCATCATTCCCCCAAAGACAGTAAGAAATTGCAGTGGCTACTTTGAGGAACTTTAGACAAGAGCAAGATTGTTCATTTGAGAGATGCTTTAGAACAAAGAAGGAGGGACAAAGCCCTCAAGATCAGATTCTCTCTTGTCTGTCTGAATGAGAGAAAGTGCTGAATGGATCATCGCCTCCATTTTCATACCCTGGGAATAAATAAGAACTGGTGTTTTAATTATACACCACCATGGAACTGCTGGGCCCAACTTACTGTTGAATCAGCTGACAGCGGCTCTCTTGTGTGTCTGTTTGTCAAATTGGCTTTTTCTGCTTGTACGATCACTTTCCTTTCTTGTAGCAGGAAGATCACTCGTGTTTACACTGTTAATTTAATAACTGTATAAAATGGGGCCCCTCTTATATTTTCTTCCTCGATTTTCCTTTTTATCTTCTTTTAAGAAACTACTTCAATTTACCATAAAATACGTTTGTAAATAAATATAGACGTTTATTTACGTTGAAAAGTGTGCATGATAAATTGATGACTCGGGTAAATGACAGTGAGTGAATCTTAAAACAACTCAGTGGTATGAAAAACTAAACTATGGTGGAGGAAACAACAGAACAGTGGCTGTCTCTGCGGGATGTTGATGGAATATAACTGAGAAGGGACATGAAGAGGCCATGAGGATATTGTTTCATTTTAGACTTTATTGCATTAAATAACCCTATCAAAATTTATAAAATTCTTCCCAACTAACATAAAAAGTCAAAGAAATTCTAAATAAATCTGAACAGAGTTTTTTTTGAGGGCTAACTTTATTTTATTTTTTGTTCATTTTTACCTGAGGATATTTTTCCATTGATTTTAGAGGGAGGGAGAAAGAAAGAGAAACATTGATGTGAGAGAGTATCACTGATTGGTTTCCTCCCGCACTCACCACGCCTGGGGCCAGTATGCCAAGTACATGCCCTTGTCTGGGAGTAGAACTTTCAGTCCTTTCGTGCACAGGATGACACTCTAATCACCGAGCACACACTCGCCTGAGGTTGAGGGCTAACTTAGATAGCATTGTACTTAGTTCTTTTTTTTTTTTTTCAATTTTTTTTTTCAATTTTATTTCTCCATTCCAGTTTACATTCAACATTATTTTGTATTAGTTTCAGATGTACAACATAGTGGTTAGATTTAATTATTCTTTTTTTTTAATTTTTTATTTATTTTTTTGTTACGGATATTTCTCCTTTTTTACCCCATTGGCACCCCCCTCCCCACCCCAGCCCCGCCCCGACCCCGGCTTAGTTGTCCATGTCCATTGGTCATGCATACATGCATATAAGTTCTCAATTGAGTTTTTAATAGAACTTGACAAGTCGATTTTAAATTTTACTTACAAGAATACTTAAGTATGCTTGACTTAGAATTAGACAGCTCGTCTACCCTATCAGATGTCACAAATTTATGATAGAGTCATAATTATTAAGACATTGTGGTATTGGTCCATAATAACTAAAACAATGGAACAGCACAGAAAGCCCAGAAACAGACACGCACAGAGGGAACTCCAATAGGTACAGAAGTGGCATTGCAGATGACTGGGAGAAGGAAGAACCACTGGATAAATGATATGTGGATATTTAGTTTACTATGCTATAAAAAAAAGAAAAGTGGGTTCCTACTTCACATAATCCACAAAAATTAATTCCCAATTTTGTATTTAAATATGAAAATCAAAGCTTAAAAATCTGTAGAAGTAAATTTTTAAAAATATATTTTTGATCTTAAGGCCATGAAGAGTTATTTTCAGCTAGGCACAATACCCAAACAAAGATTAATAATTCAAGTGTAAAACTGAATTGTATCCAAGTTAAGACTCTTATTCATCAAAATAACACCGTAAGATAAGATCGAGCCACAAGCTGGAAGAAATTTTAAACATATGTATAACTGACAAAAGAGAAATAATGAGCATTTATAGAAGTCATACAAAGCAATTTTAAAAAAACTCAATACACAAAATGTTCAAAAGATAAAAGAGCATTTCCCAAATGAAACACTGTTAGGAGGAGGAGGAGAAGGAGAAATAAGATGCTAATCACCACTACTAATAAAATTAGGAGCATAATAAGATATTTGACAAAAAAGTTGAACAATACCCAATGTTGGAAGGTTGCTTATCCATTGTTGGAGGATGTGTAAAAGCACATATCTGCATCCTCCATGACCCAGAATTCCACACCTACTTACATAGCCCCTTTTACCCACAGGTGATATGTTCTAGGATTCCCAGTGGAAGACAAACCTCATGTAGTACCAAACCATATACATACTATGTTTTTGTTCCTATATATACATACTTATAATAAAGTTTAATTTATACATTTGGCACAGCAAGAGAATAACAATAATAGAACAATTATAACAATATACTGTAATAATAGTTCTGTGAATGTGCGGTGCCTCTCTTCCTCTCTCTCTCTCTCTCTCTCTCTCTCTCTCTCTCTGTCTGTCTCTCTCTTCCCCACCCCTCCCTCAAAATATCCTACTCCATCCACCCTTCTTCTTGTGGAAAATTTTCACCTTTTCACTTAAAGTAGCACTTCACAGCTGCTCTTTGGCATGTGTGAACTGCCAGCACCACTGCTCTTGTGCTTTGGGCCGTTATTAAGTAAAATAAGGGTGACTTGAACACAAGCACAGCGATACCGTGGCAATGGATCTCATAACCCAAACAGCTAAGTGACTAACAGGTAGGTAGCATGTACAGTGTACACATGCTGGACAAAGGGATGATTCATGCCCTGGACAAGATAAAATATGAGGGCACAAGATTTTATCATGCTACTCAGAACAGGTGCACAATTTAAAACTGATGAATGGCTTCTTTCTGAAAGTTCTCATTTAATATTTTCAAACCGTGGTTGACCACAGGTCACTGAAACCATGAAAAGCAAAACCATGGATAAAGGGGAGGGACTACTGTATATACTCTAGATTTATATACTAAGACGTATACCTGCAGATATAAACCAATATGTGTACACACACATATAAATATTGGAAATATAGGCACAAAAATATTCTTTAAGGTACATACATGATACAAATATGTGTACAGTAACACTGTTCAAAATAATAAAAACTAGAAATAACTCAAATGTCTGTCAAGAAAAGAGTAAATAAGTTGTGTGATAGTCACACTGAAATATTATACAACAATAAAAAATGAAATATAGTCACACACCTAACACTGCATGAATCTTAAAAATATTAAGAATAGCCCGGCTGGTGTAGCACAGTGGTTGAGCATTGACCCATGCACCAAAAGGTTGCTGGTTCAATTCCCAGTCAGTGCACATGTCCAGGTTGTGGGCCCAATCCCCAGTGGGGGGCATGCAGGAGGTAGCCAATCGATGTTCTCTCTCATTGATATTTCTATATCTCCCTCACCCTTCCTCTCTCTCTAACATTAATAAAGAAAAAATTAAAATACTAAAAATATTAAGAATGATTTGCAGGATTATGTTTACATATATGTAAGATAGATCGGGACTACTGGTCAAGATGGCGGGTAGGTAAACATGGTATCGCCTCCCCCACAACCACATCAAAATGACAACTAAACTACAACACAACCATCATTTAGAACCACTTGAAATCCAGATGAATGGAAATCCTACAACTACAAAATTAAAGAAACAGCCACACTGAGACTGGTAGGAGGGTAGAGGCACAGACAGGCTGGTCCCACACCCACGTGTGACGGATAAAAATCAGGAGGGACATCTTGGCTGTGAAGGTCCTCCCTGAGGACTGAGGGGTCCCCGTCCCACACCAGGTGCCCAGCTCAGGGTTCCAGTGCCAGGAAGAGAATCCCCATCACTTCTGGCTGGAAAAACCAGCGGAAACTGAGGCTCAGGGAGGCTGAGGCAGCTGGAGCCCCAGGCAGCTTTTCTTAAAGGGCCCACACACGGACTTACTCAGAATTGCTCCCTCTAAGCTCAGAGGGGAGGCAGCTTGAGGAGCACCAGAGACATACAGAGGAAAACTGAGCTGTTTCACCTTAGGTCAAGGGCTGGAGAGGCAGCTTTCACCTGAACAGACATGCTGGCAGAGGCTGATGTTCCTTTGGTGAGCCCTTCCCTGGGACCGCAGACAGCCACCATATCTGGGACTCCAGCAACCTGGCTCACACTGGTAGCCCCACCCTGTGATTCCCTGAGGCCCCGCCCCACCCAACTTTCAGACCCACCCAAGCTGTTTCCAATTGCTTTACCATAGGATTGGCCTGACTTGAATCCTGCTTCAGAGTTTTCTAAAATCTCTCAAACAAGCAGCATCTGGTCTCAGCAAGTCCCATGCCTCTCGTTAAGTGGCTCCAGGCCTGGCACTAGAAGCAGCCAGCCTTGGTTCACAGCTTGGCTTTTCCTGGGCACCTCCAAGCCCAGCACAAGAAGCAGCCATCTGCAGATCACTTTGTAGCTTATGCCAGTGGCCCCAGGTAGAACACAGGCAGTGGCTGACCTTGCCCCAGAGCCAGCACACCCAGTGGACAGCTTCAGACCACATTGAAACACCACCACCCAACCACCTCCACAAGTGACACACTCAGTGAGTGGACTCAGTGGGTACCAGAGCCCTGATGAAGTAAGTCTTGCTCTGTGTGGTGGCCCCTACACAGCTGATCCTCCAAGGTAGTCAGAGGCCAGTGGGCAGTGGGCACAGCCAGTCCTTGCAGCTGATCAGCCTGAGTAAATCCCTCCCACTGATGTGCCAACAGCAACCAAGATTCAATTACAACAGAAGGGTGTACAGTCCACACTAGGAGTGCACCTTGAGGGCCCAGCTGGGGTGATCAGGGAGGCTTTGCCACTGGATCCTACAGGACACCTACAATAATAGCCCACCCTACGAAGCCTAGGAGACATAGCAACTCTACCTAATATAGAAACAATCACAGGGAAGCAGCCAAAATGAGGAGACAAAAAAACATGTCCCAAATGAAAGAAAAGAACAAAACTCCAGGAAAAGAATTAAACAAAATGGAGATAAGCAATATAACAGAAGCAGAGTTCAAAACACTGGTTATAAGGTTGCTCAAGGAACTTGGTGAGACATTCAAGGAACTTAAGGAGACCTCCAAGAAACTTAGTGAGAACATCAACAACATAAAAAAGAACCAGTCAGAAATGAAGGATGCATAATTGTAATAAAGAATAATTTACAGGGAATTAATAGAAGAGTAGGTAAAGCCAAGAAGCAAACCATTGACTTGGCATATAAGGAAGCAAAAAAACACGCAATTACAACAGCAAAAAGATAAAACAATCCAGAAAAATGAGGATAGTGTAAGGAGACTCTGCAACAACTTCAAGAATGCCAACATTTGCATCATAGGGGTGCCAGAAGGAGAAGAGAGAAAACAAGAAAGTGAAAACCTATTTGAAACAATAACGACAGAAAACTTTTCTAACTTGATGAAGGAAACAGACATACAAGTCCAGGAAGCACAGAGTGTCCCAAAGAAGATGAACCCAAAAAGGTCCACACCAAGACACATCATCATCAAAATGCCAAAGGTTAAATACAAAGAGAGAATCTTAAAAGCAGCAAGAGAAAAGCAGTTTGTCACCTACAAAGGAGCTCCCATAAGACTCTTAGCTGATTTCTCAAAAGAAACTTTGCAGGGCAGAAAGGAGTGGTGAGAGATATTTAAGGTGATAAAAAGCAACGACCTACAACCAAGATTACTCTATCCTGCAAAACTATCATTTAAAATCGATGGACATATAAAAAGTTTTCCAGACAAGAAAAAGCTAAAGGAGTTCATCACCACCAAACCGGTATTATACAAAATGTTGAAGGGTCTTCTTGAAGAAGGAGAAGAAGAACAAAAATATGAACAATAAAATGGCAATTAATACATATCTATGAACAATTGAATCTACAAACAAAATGAGCAAGCAGAACAGAAACAGACTCATAGATACAGAGAACTTTTTGTTGCTTGCCATATGGGTGGGGGCTGAGGGGATGGGTGAAAAAGATGAAGAAATTAAGAAGAACAATTCGGTTGTTTGACTGATGAACCTTAAAGGGAAGTGAGGAGAGAGGGCGAGAAGAGATACACCAAAGAACTTCGATGCATATATGCATAACCAATGGACATCGACAATACTGTGAGGAAGGCAGGAGGGGGGCGAGATTAGGGAGGAGGGGGTCAATGGGAAAAAAAGGGGGGACGTCTGTAATACATTCAACAATAAAGATGAGTTTTTTAAAAAAGAAAAAATACATATATGTAAGGTATTATACCACATTATTTTTTCTTCTGGATGTGTTAAACATAAGAACATGGGACATTCCCCAGTCAAGTTTTATCTGAGTAGCTGAGCTCCCCTTAACCATCATAGCCCTACAACTTTCTGACCAGCACAGGTGTTTTAGAATTCCCCAAGAACTGCTGAGGCCAGCCTTGGAGCTTGGGAACAGAGTGGACTGATCTCCATTACTTACGGTAAGAAGCAGTGTGCTGCCGTCACCACCCACCGAGGGGCGATCAGAATCCCCACACAGGGCTGGTAACTAGATTTCAGATATAATAAGTAGGGCACATGCTGTAACCCTTCCATGTCTTCACTGACAAGTGGAACAACACCTGGAACACAGAGAGAAGAGAATTGAGAGATAACCCAGATGATGAAAGAAAACGGGCTAGTTATGGAGATTTTTAAGAGGCCAATATCAGACTATCAATATTTACTATTCATTAATAATCTCATAGTCCCTTCTCGGTGGTACTAGAAAATCATACTATAAATACACTGTATTAAGCACTTCACATACTTTATAACATTTTTTAAATTTTCACAGAAAAAGAACTGTAGGATGGAGAAGTTTTATATTATTTTACAATTAAGAATTTAATACTAGGAAACTTCTTACGGTCATACAAATCATGGATGATGGTTGCTTCAAGGACTCAGGGTTCAATGTGTCTGATTCCAAATCCAATATATGCACTTATTCTCCACCTGACCTCCCTGCTTCTCTCCAGACATCCTTACTCATTTTCAGTATCCTAAAATCTTACTCTTTCTTGGCAATCCCAGTTGGCAGTGCAGCCTTCTCCATAGCACTCTGGCTTTTCTTGCTAGTCAATTTCAGGGATGCTCTAAGACCAGTCATCATGACACCACCAGAAATTAACTAATTAAAATTAAAACTTCAATTCTGGCATGAGAATACAGGGAGAGACACTTTGTACAAATGGGCACCTCAATACAGTACAGTACTTATTCTCTGGAAATGGGCCTGGATTCACATTCTGCCCCTATCATCACTACTAGTATCAACTTCAACAAATTATATAAATCTCTATGTTTTAATTTCCTCATTTGTGCACTGGGATCTTAAACTTCTACCCTAGGCTTATTTTGAGCATTAAATGTGTTAATATATGTAAGTTACTTGCAAGAATGTTTGGGATATAATGAATGTTCAATAATGTTATTTCTTACTAATGCAGTTTTAAAACAGAAAGAAGAATAATTATCTCAGCTTGATAAAAATCAACTACAAAACCCAACAGCTAACATCATACTCAATGGTGAAAAAACAGAATGCTTACCCCTAAGATCTGAAATGAGACAATACTGTCCACCCTCAACACTCTTACTCAAAATAATATTGCACATTCTAGCCACTGCAAGAAGGCAAAAAGAAATAAAAGACTAACCAATCAGAAAGGAAGAAATATAGCCATCCCTATGTGTATGTGACATGATTGTCTTACATAGAAAATTCCAAGGAATCTACAAAAACTCCTAGAATATATGAGTTCAGCAAAGTCACAGGATACAAGATCAGCAAAAATTGATCACACTTCCACATACTACAATGAATATATGGAATCCAAAATTAAAAATGCAATCCCACTTACTATCACTGCAAAGAAAAGTAAATAATTAGGCATATAGTTAACAAAATATGCACAGGGTCTTTATGCTAAAAATTTCAAAATGCTGATAAAACAAAGAACAAGAAAAAGAAATGACATGCTATGTTCATAAACCAAAAAACTCAACAGCATAAAGACAGCAATTCTACCCAAACTAACCTATAGGTTTAATAAAATTCCTATAAGAATTCCAGCAAGATTTATTATATTCAGAGAGAAACTTGTTTAATATTTTATTGGAAAAGTCACAGGCTAACACAATCTTTAAAAAATATAACAGAGGGGAAGAGACCTCTCTCACCAATATTAAGACTTGCTTATCTAGGTACAGTATTCAAGACAATGTGGTATTGGCAGAGAAGCAAACACATAAACTGATGGAACATCACAGAAAATCAGAAAGAAACACATACAAGTATACCCAACTGATTCTGGACAACAGTGCAACATTGGTTGAATAAAGTACAGTATTTTGACAAATATTGCTGCAGCAAATGGACATCCACAGACCAAAAACAAAGACCTCCACCTAAATCACCTTATACAACATTTAACTTTAAATGGATCAGAGCCTTAAATATAAAACTATATAACTTACAGATGAAAAAATAGAGAGAACATGTTCAGGATCTAGAGTAACACACAGAGTTCTTAGACTTGACACCAAAATCAAAACCAATAAAAATAAAGACTTGATCAGTCAAACCCCACCAAAATTAACTTTAGGTTTTCTCCATAAAAGACCCCTCTGACAAGAGTTTAGACAAGTTACATACTGGGGTAAAATATGTGTAAACCTCATACCTGACAAAGGACTGGTATTGAACTATCTACATACTCTCAGACTCAACAGTTAAAAAATAAATCAATAAAAATAAAGTCTAATTAGAGAAAAGGCAAAAACCAAGAACAGACTTTTCACTGAAGAGAATCTATATATGGCAAATGGGCACATGAAAAGATATTCAACATCATTAGTCATTGGGTAAATCAACATTGAAAGTACGAGATAGTATTATACACGTTAACAGAATGGCTAAAAAAATGGTGACACCACCAAATGCTGACAAGGATGTAGAGAAAACAGCTCACTCATACATTGCTGGTGTGAATGTAAAATGGTGCAGCCAATCTGGAAAACAATTTGACAGTTTGGTATGAAACTAAAATTATGATAGGGTCAGAAATTGCATTTTCGGGAATGTATCCCAGACAAAAACTTATTATCACACAAAAATGTAGCAGCTTTATTCAGTGATGTCTTTCAATAGGTGAATAAATATGGTACATCCAAACCACTGAATAATACTTGTGATTTTGTTTAAAAACCATTAATATATATATAACTTGGAATGAGTGAAGTCACATGAATCTTTTTAAGTCATAAATGTGGTCATGTAACTCCCATATTTAAAACTCTTTAAAGGCTTTCTATTACATCCAGGATCACTTCTAAAACCAAAGCTAGAAGACCCTCTATTATCTCACTTTTTTTTTTTTTTTTTTTTTTTTTTTTAAGAAAAAGAGGAAGAGAGAGAGAGAGACATCAATGTGAGAGAGAAACATCAATCAGCTATGCCCCCTGCACATGCCCCTTCTGGGACTGAATCTGCAAACTGGGTATGTGCCCTGACTGGAAATCGAACCTGCCAACCCCTGGTATACCAGATGACACTCCCAACCAATTGAGCTACACCAGCCAGGGCTACTATAAAATCCACTTTCCTTCTCTGCACTCCAGCTATACAGGTTGTCTTTCACTTGAAAATGTCACACCTCATGACCTTCACACTTACTGGTTCCTCTTTGTGAATGAAACAACCTACCCACCCCCTACAGCACTTAACTTGGTTAACTACATTCAGTCTAATATAGAAGTAGGAAGCATTACATATCATTAAAAGATAGACATTATTTTCCTCATGTTTCACATAAAAAAAAAAAATTGAGTTTCAGAAAGTTTAGCATATTTGTCCAAAGCCACTTAACTATTAAGTATAAGGGCATCATTGCCTAATTACAGAACCATAGTAATTTCATAATGGAACTGTTTCCTCATCAATAAAATGAGAACAATAATACTTATCTCACAAAGCTGTAATAAGAATTAAATGAGTTAGTATGTAGAAAACAGGGCAGTGCCCATTATATACGGATATGCTTTTACGATAGTAGCGGTGATTACCACTGTTATTATTTTAGCCCAAAGAACAAAATCTTTTTCCTTCTGAACTTCACAGCAAAATGCCTGATGTCTTGGCTTCTTATTTCTTTATAAATCCCTATGCCCTCTTCCAGGATCCTATCTCCACCTCGCTTCTGGCATGCCCCCATGTTCCTGCCCAAGAAGGTGGTCAGACATCCATAGGAGCTTTAAGTCCATAATAAAAAGGCTTAGTTGGGTACAACAAATGGCCGAGCCTGTACAGAAAATGAGTAGTATATCGCCTACTTCTCAAACTTTCATGTTCCTGATCCACCAGCTCTCCCTCCCCAACAAACTCCACAATCTCACCCCCCAAACAGACTCCTAATCCACCTGGCAGTCACTCACCAATCACCACCAGCAAGGTTAACAGGACACACTTCATGTTGCTGCCTGAATCCTGTCCTGAAGCTAAGGATGTAGTGGAAATTAGCAGGTGCAAAGCAGGGATCGAACTTAGAACCTGCATGGGGATTCCGTGGGAGGAGGTGCAGGGGATCCAACTGGGATGAGGATTGTATAAACGTGTCGTCTAGAGGGCTCTCCTTCTGGTCTTGAGCCTCAGCGTGAAAAAGGAACAGTAGGCTTGGAAATCTTCTCAGTCTAAGTAAAAATCCACCGTGAGGGATGAGGAGTTCCTACGGTTTGAGCTTTAATCACCTCATCTAGGGGTAAGAATTCCAAAGTAGGAGACAAGTAAACCTTCCACGGAGTTGAAATTCATGCCAAGTTCCTTCCCTTCCCTCTCTGTTCTTCTCACCAGTTCCTTCCCCACAGTGTGTGACTTGCACCCCTCCCTTTACATGTCCCATTGACCCCTCTTCATTCTGGGCTACTCAGATGAAGCAGAGCTGTCCCCACCCCTCTGTGTGACATGACTTCCTCCCCTTTACACGCATGTCATACTCAGCCCAGCCCTCCTCAAACATGCCTTACTTTGAATGGATTTATACTGCACAAACACAGACATCATTTGAATAAACGTTCCCAACCAATACCCATACCAGTGGCTCCAGCCAGACCTTTAAGTCTAGTCTCACTACGCTGACCTCTTGGACTTGGTCTACTCATGTTCACCTGCAGATGTCGTCTCTCAACTTTCTCTCTAGCTGCCCTTTTCAAAGTTATGTTTGGTGGCAAAATACAAGAGTATTAGAAAATCAGACAGCAGAATGAAACAATAAAGATGTAGAGTCCTATAAATTTGAGATATTCTGTGGAATGAGGCTGGGGATAGATGTGTCTCCATGTGTACACAGAATTGATAATAACACATAAAGAACTTAATAACTAATTTACAAACATATAGGAAAATGTTGAATATCACACACACACACACACACACACACACACACACACACCATCCGTCTATCTATCCATAAAATTCTAAAGTTACTTTTTCTTTTTTTTTTTTTTTTTTTTTTTTTTTTTTTTTTTTTTTTTTATCCTCACCCGAGGACATTTCTCCATTTTTTGTTCAGGTAGAGCGGGAGGGAGAGAGAGGAATAGAGAGAGAGAGAGAAACATCAATGTGAAAGGGACACATCGAGTGGCTGCCACCCGCACGACCGACCAGGGCCGGGGACAAACTGCAGCCGAGGTACATGCCCTTAGCGGGAACCGAACCCGGGTCTCTCAGGACCGCAGGCCGACGCTCTAACCGCTGAGCCAAACCGGCCAGGGCTAAAGTTACTTTTTCAAAGAGAAGCTTTAAAAGCTATCAGTAACCTAAAATAAATGGGACAGATAAGCTAAAGGAAAAATTCAAGGGCCAAAATAACTTGAAAAATTATTAGTGTTAAACAAGAAAATCCAGCCCGGCTGGTGTGGCTCAGTGGATTGAACATCGCCCCATGGACTGAGAGGTCCCAGTTCGATCCCTGGTCAGGGCATGTGCCCGAGTTGCAGGCTCAATCCCCAGTAGGGGGCGTGCAGGAGGCAGCTGATCCACGTTTCTCTCTCACATCGATATTTCTCTCTCTCTCCCTTTCCACTCTCTAAAAAGGCAATAAGAAAACAGGGGGAAAAATCCACACTTAAATTTGGTAGGCCTTGGGAAAAGTGTGTGGAGTGGGCTGGTGGGAGAGAGGGGATGAGAAGAAAGGGTGACAAAGACAAGATGAGGGTCAAGGGAGGTCCCTAAACCACGCTCGTGGTTTATTTTTTAGGCCATTTGAGAACTCCTGCAGAGTTTTAAAGAAGACTAGTATGATCTCATTTACATTTGAGAAAGAAAAACAGTTCTGAGTCAGAGGGAAAGTGTCAACTTGAGCAACAGCAGATGGCCACACACATTAGTTCACGTGAGACACGTTTATGGAGTAGATGAGGGTGTCGGCAGTGAGCAGGGAAAGATACGGGTGGATTTCAGAGATGCCTCCAAGTAGGATGGACTTTGGGACTGAGTGGTGAGAAAAAGAGACAAATCAAACAAGTGGAAGGTAGATTTATCTCCCCAAATATAAAAATAAGTAAAAGAAGGAATCTGAAAGGCTGGAGGAATAAGGAGGGTAATTTTAACATGCTAAATGGCAGGGGCCTAAGGAAGTTGTCAACAAGGGCTTCCAAGAGGCCTTTGAAGATGCGGGATTGGAGGTCTGGGCTAGAGGTACCAATTTGTAACTCATAGCAGTCCCCGGTGCCAACCTCCCCCAGGAACTCTGTTGTCTTTCCTAGAGAGTGGCCGTGCTTTGCTGCTCATGGCCCTCGCACTCCCAGTCTCCAAGCTCCCTTTCTGGCCCATAGTATTTCCCAACGCTCTGGGCAAAACCACCTCAGAGGAAAGTCGATCTCTTTCTCAACTTTTGACCCATGTCAACCAATCCTATCCCCCACCACAGAAAACCTTCCACACCTCCATGCTGTCTTCGAACCTTGGTATAGTATCTCATGAACCAGCCCTACTCCACAAGGGGTATAGATGGGGTATGTGTGTGTGTGTGTGTGAAAGAGAAAGAGAAAGAGTCCACAGTGCACCTCCATGTTCAGTGTGACATCCAGGAGAGCATGTGCCATGACTATTTTTCATTTCACACCTGAGGGACTTTGTGTGAGGGAATGTACAGTTTTCCAAGGTCCACGAATGCCGGTTGATTACCTGCAGCCTAGAGGAGGTGCTGGAACAGCTGTGTGTATCCAGGAAGACCCAGATTCTACTTCTAGTCTTTCTAGACACGTGTGATTTTGAGAAAATGACTTCAAGTCTTCCTGTTTCGGTCTGCGACCTACAGGTCCGGTGAAAGAAAATGATACCAGCCCAGCTCTGTCTCCTCTTTCCAGGGTTGTTGTGACATTAGCATGAGATAATAAGCTTAAGAAAATGTAAAGGGTGATAGTGATACAATGTATAATTAATTACATCATATTAGACCAATTTAGTGTAAAATCACCACTAAGAATGTCCATAAAGAATTTAGCTCAGGCTTGGCCAGTGTGGCTCAGTGGTTGAGCGTTGACCCATGCACCAAGAGGTCATCAGTTCGATTCCTGGTCAGGGCACATGCCCAGGTTGTGGGCCAAATCCCTAGTGGGGGGCATGCAGGAGGCAACCAATTAATGTTCTCTCTCATTGATGTTTCTATCTCTCTCTCCCTCTCCCTTCCACTCCAAAATTAAAAAAAAAAAAAAATTTAAAGAATTTAGCTCAGGGCATAGATTCAGTAAGCATTCAATGGGTGTTGAATACATATTAAACATTACTGCCAGCATTACTGCTGTTTTTCTTATTAAAGTTTGCTCTCAATTATCCCAAGTTGACTGAGGCGATCTATTCTTGGCTGAGAAATTTTTTCATTTGGTTAAAAACCATTTAGAGGTCCTGCCTTAACTGTCACCAACACACAGTAGATCTTAGATCTGATGTAATCTAGAATTCAAGCCATTCTCTAGAGGGGAAAATAACTGTTCCATAGATGCTTTTGGTTTCCCCATTGCCTTAGCCCATAGCTGTTGATCAGGACGACCAGACCAAGTGGGCGATGATGAGGGAGTGATGAAACAGTGATCAGAGAGAAAGCTGAAGCTGGTGCAACAAAGAAGGGAGGGGCTGAGGGGAAGTATAAGTAATGATTACAGGGTTCAGAGCAAACCTGGGGACACTGTCTTCTTGAGTTAAGGTGAAGAATCCTTTCCCGCACGGTCCTGGCCTTAGAAACTCCATGGGGAATATGAGTCCTGAGCCAAGGTCCCCTTTTCCACTTTTATTCAGATAGACTTTTAGGAACAGCAGAGAGAGAAACCTGAACCCAGAAGTCTAAGGAATTAGGCTCCTTTCTCCTTCCCTGAAGGACCCCAATAGAGGTATAATCCCCCCCTCCGCTGGCGCAGAAGGGCCTCCGTCTGTCTATTTGGAACCTACTTCCTCCCTGCTGTTTAAGCCAAGCGCCTCTTTCCAATCTCACTGTGTGCCCCCACACCAAATCACGTCCACTGCTCCGACCAGGTGTTCCCAAGGAGACGGCTGAGCTGAAAGTTCCATATTCTACATATCACAGGGAAAGATCTGGACTGCTATGAAATTTATCTTCTGTTTGAGTGTCCTTGTTGGTATGTACCCATGACCATCTACTCTATCCTATGAGGCATAGGTTAATGTAGGATGGAGTAAGGCAGAGTGTGCAGAGGGTGCAAAGAAGGAGTCAAGAAAAAGGGTCATGAGCTGAATTAGGGTTCTCCCCTCTTACACCCCACCCAAAGGCTCTCCAGACAGGCTGAGCCCACTCTTCTAGTGCTAAGCTATGGGGTGGTTTATGGTGTACATCTTCCTTGAAGAATGCTCAACAGTGAGTGTCCCCTCACTGGTTATTTTAAAATGCGGGTCTCATTACCCACTGAGTAAGTCCCAGTGTAGAGACAGAGAGCTCATTTTGACATCAAAAGCTTAGAGACCCAGAATACAGGGAATGGAGAAGGTAGGAACAAAATATGAAATGCAAGAGGCCTTCCTCTGCACCCCCTGGCGTCCATAAAGTTCTGATGGCAGAAGGTGCTGGAGGCATTTTCTACCCCTCCATTGACTGCCCAGGTTGCACCACAAATGAGCTGTGTGCGCCTGGACAAGTTCACCTATCTGTGCTTCATTTTCCACAGTCCACATGGGGATATCACGCCCTACATTATAGAGTCATTGTGAAGATTAAGTAAATCCATGCAAAGCACTTGGAACAAGGGCTCAACGCCTTTGATTCTTATTAATACTCCACCTTTTTCCCCTTGGAGTTTCTGACTGTGATCACACAGAAAAGGGTGTGCTGAGATGCAGGTCTAGCTAGGCTTGGGGTGGATTGACAGAAGTACTGAGGGCAGCCAAGACAAGAGCAGTATTTATTTATTTCTGATACTAGAATTAGCCTTCATCCCCTTACTTCTCGAGTTTTTTCCTTAATAATTATTTTATATAAATATTGC